AAAAGGTGAAAGCAGCCAGGGGATGGCGGATGGTGGTGGTTTCATCCGGCTGTGGTTGAAGAGGCAGCGCATGGTCTCTTCCACGGCTGGTGCAATTCACCACCAGGTTGAGAAGGGAGGGAGGGAGGGAGGAAGGAAGGAAGGAAGAAGGGAGGGGGGCGTGAGAGAGAAAAAGAGAGAGGAAGGGAGGGGGAAAGAGGAAGAGAAGAAAGCATGCACGCACCCAGGCCACTGTAATTGCCACGGTGTTTATAATTGTTGCACACTCCTCTGCTCTTTGTGCGGATCTCCTCTTCAACCTTCCGCCTCTGTAACCCTTTCCCTCCAGTTTGCTGCGGGCCACTCCGCCGCCGTCGTCGTCGTCGTCGACTCTCGAAGAGGGTGGCGGAGGGGCCAGACAGGAGAAATTAGTCTGCGCTTTCACGGAGCCGAATTAAACAGAAGGAAAGAAGAAAGAGAGAGAGAGAGAGAAAAAGAAAGAGATGGCTAAGATGGAAAGAAAGTGGCCTTGCCTTGCATTGTTCTCTGCGCGAAATCGGGCTACGTTTCGTAGACCCTCGAGATGTCTCGCGGCCCAACGAGTTTCCGCACCTTGGTGAACGAGTTTTCTACGAGCAGATGGAAATTATCGTCGAGCATGTGCTGGTTGTGGTCACTTATCGCGCGAAATCCCGTGAAACGGGAATGAATTTCGAGGCCTTTCTCTCTTTTCTTCATCCTTCCTCGAAAAATAACGGTGAAACGCGTGATGGATGAATGAATAGAGGGAACGATGATTGCTTCGTCCATTTCAGTTATTTGGTACGAGAAGGTAAGGATAATGGGTTTTTAATAGATAAGTAGAATCGATGGTTCGAATAATTGTCAATGATAAATTTAAATTTGATTGAAAGGAATTTGATGATAAAATTCGGGAATTGGGATTTTTGATAAGTAAATGAATGGAGTAGGTGACCTAATAATTTGTTAAATATATGTTAATAGTAGGATGTAAGAAAGAATTGATAAAAAAATTTTATGATTAAATTAATTTCGGAGTTTTTAATAAATAAATAGAATAACAAATGAATTTTATAAATTATAATTAAATGGAATGGAATCCAATAATTGTTAATATAAAGATTAGTTAAAGATAGATATAGAATGATCCAATAATTATCTCATTATTTATTTTAATAAATAAATAAGATAATTTAATTTAATAATTGGATTTTTAATAAATAAAATGGAAACATATACATTTATTCATCGTTAATATTAAAAATTAATATCAAAAAATAGAAGTTTGAATTGTAAATAGAAAATAAAGTCATAATCATGATAGATAAAGACAATATTCATTTAATAAAAACTTCACTTTCCAAAATTAATGTATCTCAGAAAAAAATTATTACGTAAATAATTGTACTTACGAGCGAGACAATTTTAACAATAGAAATAAAATTATATAAATCAATAAAAATGTTTAACCTCGTTCAAAAAATATGTCAATCAAGATTGAAAAGATATGAAAAGCTTTTAAACAAGTTTCGTTCCATTGGTAAAAGTCATGAATAGCAAATAAGAATTCCTACGTTTCGTTCCACCCTGATACACACATTCTTGTTGACACGCGAATGTATCTATCGAATATCGTACAAAAAAAATATTTTAAATAACATTTTTTCCTTTTTCCCTTTTTTTTTTTACAAGCAAAACAATATTTTTTTTTTTCCCCCACGCACGAGCGCGTTTACTGGTATTTCGAAGCTGACATGGATCGCCGGATAGAGACGGATCACCGGATGCGGATAATCGTGTTCTGAGTTGATGTAGAAGTTAATGGACGAGGCCGGGAAAAACAAAACGCTGGACACCAAAACAAATCGTCGTTCGGTCGTCCCCCGGGCTTTGTGAACCGAACAGTATCGACCAATCGAAATTTCAATGGATATTGTTCCTTTTCCCCCACGAAATGCTATGCTAATTCGTATGCCAACACGATTATTTATTTTGGTTTGTGAGATATAATAGAAGATGCTGGTTGTCTTACTTAATCGAGCAATCGTTCTTATTTCAATTTGGGAAGGCAGATTATGTCTCCCAATGAATATTGACTTTCACGATTTTGAGGAAACGAAAACTTGTTTCTTCTTGTTCGTTGAGATGATTGTATATAGATTTAATGAGAGATACACATTGATAATGTGAAAGGGAATTTTTTTTTATCCAATGACACATGCATAAATATAATTCTATCGAAGAATCATTTGCAGTTGTCTGTAGAACCACCAATTGCACAAGTTTATAAATGGGTTATTCGTTTAAAAATTCGTGAAATATTGATTCTGAAAGAACTTAACCTTTTCCAACCAATGGAATTCAATATTTAATAAAATTAATTATTTTCGAATATAGTAGTTTGCACGGTGAATTATAATTTCGATTGTTTAAAAGTTATTTAAAATAATAGAAATTATTATTACATTCATTCCCTGATAAAATTTAGTTTCACTAACCTAACCTAATTTAATCCAAATCGAAAAAATTTCTGAATTATTAATCCCACGATCAAATCAATTTATACAATAAACGTAGCTGGAAACGTAAGTGTTAAAGGCCACAAAGATTTATCGTGCTATTATTTGAATGGCGATACATTAACCGTGATTCAATTTACAGTGATGAACAATATGAACGTTAAATAGGTTCGTTTTCTACAAATATCTATAAATCTTTGAAACGTCACGAGATGGCGACTTCCGTTGAATCGGTAGTGTTTATTGCATCATGGTGGCAGCACAGAGTGCACTACGCCTACGGTACGATAATCTAAGATGTAAAACCTGTTTGAAAACGAATCATTTAACATTTAACCGCGGACGTGGACAACAGCACCCAGGGAATTATAACATGTATGTGTATATGTGTATAATTGCAATATTTCTGAACGTTTCCAACTATTAAAATTAAATATGATTATATTTATTTTACAACATGTCGTGACGGGAAATGTAAAGTTTCTCAACTCATTTATCCATTTGTTATTTTTAAAATTTATTTGCTCCGTCTTGAAATACGTATTTATTCGTATAAAAGGATAAATTATTCGAATATTTGATCGTACATTTGAATTATTATATTACAACTTTTTTATACGATCAAATAAAAATTTGAAATTTTATTATCAAAGCGTTTGTTCTTTTTTTCGCTGTACATTTTGATTTCAAATAAAAAAAAAAAAAATATTCGATTCCATTCTGAAAAACCATACATAAATTTATTTGCAACA